GGGTGTTTTGTATTTTTATTAGTGAAATATGGCAAGCCTACCCCAACCACAATTTTCATTATGAGGCTGGCTGGAGTGTGTGTATGTTGTGGGGAGGGGTCACAGCCACCCTCAGCCACTAGTTTTCCAGTGGTCCAAACCTCTGCTGGGTCCCTTTGCCCCTCCGGGCAGCGCCCTTGGGTGGGTCCCCTTCAAGGAAGCTCCAGGCGGCCTCCCCACCTCGTGACCCATATCCAGTACCCAGGAGCCACGCACCTTCTCCCACTGCCCTGTGGGGCAGGGCACCGTCGGCCCAGTGCAGCCCCGACTCCTCAGACCAGGCCTCAGTTTCCCCAAACACTCAGTGGCATGAGGAAACCCTCTCACTTCCTGAAGGGGAGGGAGCGGCACTTGCTCCTCTCCCCCCTGGGAGGGCAACAGCCGTGGTGAGGACGGCAGCCCTCAGTCTACTCTCTCCACAGAAACCCTCCCCGACTGCTTGCTCAACCGGCGGAAGTGGGTGAAGGGCTGACAAGGTTTCACATTCTCCGAGCTTGTCCTTCACGGGGTGGAAGTCCTTGTGTGGATGTGGGGCTTCTTGGCACCTACAGTTTTGCTCTCTGCCGTTGAGGCCTCTGCTGAAATTTCTGGATAATAGGAAAAGTCCCTTTTAACATCCAGTTACACTCCCTCGTTATGAGCCAAGTCCAGATGGGGCACGCAGGGAGCAGAAGGAAGAGTTCATTTAGCTGGGGCCTCCCAGGGCCCTTGCCCAGTGCCGCTCAGACTTTAAAGTGCTCGTGAATCCTCTGGGATGGTGGTAAAAAGCAGATTTGGCTTCAGTAGGTCTGGACTGGGGCCCGAAATTCTGTATTTCCCATGGCTCTCAGGTGATGTCCTCAGACGCACTCTGAGCAGAGAGAGGCTAAAAGGCTGCGTAGGCAGAGTTGCTCAGCCCTGGCAGGAGGCGGAAGAGGAAGGGCCTTGCAGCCCGAGGGGCAGCAAGTGTGGAGGGCTCAGGCCATGTCAACACTGCCTTTGTGGTTCAGCCTGTAGGTCAGAGGCAAAGAAGGCCCACGCCCCACTGGAGGAAGGGGGAGGCGGGGAGGGGGAAGTAGATGAAGTTCCAGGGGTGTCCTGACTATGCCTGGAAAAGCTGGAACAGGAAAAGCAAGCTGAATGGGTTCCACTTGTGTCAGCTCTTGTAAAAATGCTTTACAAGCTAGCCTACATAATTGCATTTCACGAAGCCACGTGAACATTAATTACTCAGGGCATCTGATGGCTTGACCACACAGTGCCTGTGACAGACGCATTCAAGTCTTGCTTTGCACAATGGCATTGGCTTGCTGCAGCTCACACGGCTCTGTGTCTCCCAACGTGCACAGGTGGTGTGAGCGGCCTGGTAAAGGTTCGCTGTCTCGGTGTAACGTCCAGCAGGGAGTCATCAGCAAATCGCACAGCCCAACCTGCGTGTGGGAGATGAGCAAGTGGCCCTTAGAAATGTCTACTTCCTAATCCTCAGAGCCTGTGAATGTGTGACCTTACGTGGTAAAAGGGACTTTGCAGATGTGATTCAGTTAAGGACTTTGAGATGGGGAGATCGTTCTGGGTTATTTGAGTGGGTCCAATCTACTCACCTGCTTGCTTAAAAATGGAGAACCTTTCCCAGCTGTGGTCAGAAGGAGAGATGTGACAATAGAAGAAAGGTCAGAGAGATGGCAGCATGAGAAGGAGGCCTGTTGCTGGTTTGGGGATGTGAGGGGCTACTTACAAGGTCAGAGAGAGGCCTCCCGAGAGGAGCTAAGAGAGCTCCCGCCCCGTGTGCTGAGGGCCAGCAAAGAAATGGAGATTTCAGTCCCACAACCTCACAGAACTGAGTTCTGCCAGCGAGCAAGAAAGCAGATCGTCCCAGCGAGTCTCCAGAAGGAAGGCAACCCTGCAGCCACGCGAGAGCCGGGCCTGACCTGCAGAACCGTGTGATAATAAATTGCGCCTTTTGAAGACATTGAATGTGTAGTGCTTTGCTACGGCAGCAACAGAAAACAAATATCCTGCCCCAAATCCCCCCTTCCTCTTCAGAAGAAAGCTCATGCCTTCTGCTGAAAACTGGCTTTCCTGCATTGTCACACCAAAATGCTGAACACTCCCCAGAAGCAGCTGCTATTTTCTGAGAACAATGAGTGACTTGTAAGCCTGAGAGCAGGAAGAAAAATCCACTTTGCAGACAGCCCTGGGTCTGCTGGGCCTGGGAGCGACCTCGTCCGGTGAGGGGTCTTGGAGCATCTGCTCTCCGCCCAGCCTTTTCTTCCCCTTTGCTCCCTGTCTGGTTCATTTGACTTTGCAACTCGGTGCAGAAAGCCATCTCCACTCTCTTGGAGGAGAAAAGCTGTGCGGATACAGCATGGGGAGTTACCACGTGCCCCCCTCAGCGGTTTCAGAGAGAGGACCTTGCCCACACGTCTCAGGTCCACCTTCGACAGACCCACGGAGCAGTTAGAGTGGGAAAGGATTTTGGAGTCAGTCCAGTGCAACCATCTCATTTTACACGGAAGGAGGGAAGGAAGGGAGGGGGAAAATAAGGGAACTGAGGTCAACCCTCCTCCAGGGGCGGGCCTGGCCGACAGGATCCCAAGGGATGGAATGACATTGAAATTAGGAAACCAAGTAAAGTTGAGAACTAAAGGAAACTGAACCCATTCAGCCACAAGGCATCCTTGAGGGCTAACCAAGCCATCGGAGCCCAGGAGCACCCGCCACAGGTCAGAGAGTCGGGCGCTAGAGGTTCGGGCACCTGAGAAAGGTGGGGCTGGAGCTGGCACTTTGCTTCTGTGCACCCACCCAGCAAGGGGTGATGGGAAGTGGGGACCAAGTGACCAAAAACTCACGCTGGATACACAGAGCCGCCCGGGCTTCAAACTGAACGAACATCATTGTGCCAAAACAGTCATCACCTTCCACGAGTTGTAAACATCCATTCCAAGTCACTAAATGTGCACAGTCTTTCTACTTATACAGACTGCTTTCCAAAGGTTAACATCTAAACCAATCAATTAAGGTCAACCTTAATTTTCCAGAGTTTTTCAGTTAAACTTTTCTGAGTAATTGAGCAAATTCAACTTTCTCTCTCCGTCCTCTCTCTGTTCATTTAAAACATGCTCTCTAACCTGTTGGTCAGTTAAGGTCTGAAAGCATTTAACAAATGCTTTTCCATGTTTGCAGGACAAACGAATGCTCACTAAGGCATCCTCATCTGTGGGGATTTATGGACTTTGTAGGGGGCCTTCTTCCCCCCATGATAGGGTGAAAAAGCAGCAGTGGCCTCTTAGGCTGGAAGGCAGAGAAGCCTGACATGGAGTTGGAGGGGCCCCCAAGTGCTCAGCCACTCGGACCACCCTGTCCCATCCTGCTTCCGCAGCCTCTTCCCCCAAAAGACCATCTTTGATTGCTGAACTACTAATTACTTCAAAAAATAGTCATTGGGCTGGGTGCAGTGCCTCACGCCTGTAATCCTAGCACTCTGGGAGGCCAAGGTGGGCAGATCATTTCAGCTCAGGAGTTCGAGACTAGTCTGAGCAAGAGTAAGACCCCATCTGTACTACAAAAATAGAAAGAGGCCGGGCGCTGTGGCTCACGCCTGTAATCCTAGCTCTTGGGAGGCCGAGGCGGGCGGATTGCTCAAGGTCAGGAGTTCAAAACCAGCCTGAGCAAGAGTGAGACCCCGTCTCTACTATAAATAGAAAGAAATTAATTGGCCAACTGATATATATATAAAAAATTAGCCGGGCATGGTGGCACATGCCTGTAGTCCCAGCTACTTGGGAGGCTGAGGCAGGAGGATCGCTTGAGCCCAGGAGTTTGAGGTTGCTGTGAGCTAGGCTGACGCCACGGCACTCACTCTAACCTGGACAACAAAGTGAGACTCTGTCTCAAAAAAAAAAAAAAAAAAAAAAAAAAAAAAGAAATTAGCTGGACAACTAAAAATATATGGAAAAAATTAGCTGGGCATGGTGGCTCATGCCTGTAGTCCCAGCTACTTGAAAGGCTGAGGCAGGAAGATTGCTTGAACCCAGGAGTTTGAGGTTGCTGTGAGCTAGGCTGACACCAGGGCACTCTAGCCCGGGCAATGGAGTAAGACTCTGTCTCAAAAAAAAAAAAAAATAGTCATTTGTCACCCGCCCTCTGCTAGGTACAGGAGTCCTGTGAGATGGGCTCTTCACCTTAGTCCTCACCCCCTTTGGCCATTGACGCCATCTCCACACCACCCATGATCCTACTTCCACCTTCCAGCCTGACACAGGAATTGCCTCTCTGAGCCTCTGATCTCTCCTTTCTCCCAGAGTCTATTTTCATTCTTCCTTCTTGGCTCAGTAAGTACATGGGCAATTCCGGACCAGCCTCACAGGCAGCCACCCTCTCCTCCCCCAACTGCGGCCTGAGCCTCAGGGCCAGGGCAGGATCCTGGCCTGCAAATAATGCACTCGCAGCTTCAGTCCGGTCTCCGCAGGGGACAGCAGCAGACGGCGCTCGCCCTGGGGGACCGAGTCCAAGCACCTGTTCCCTGGCAGGGCAGAAGCCCTCCACCCTGCCCTGGGATGGCAGTCCCGACTTTCCAGCACTAGGAGTCTCCCGAACTCGGGCTTGGAGCCTCCCCTGGAGTCCATTCCATCCCCTGCAAAGCCAGTTTCCACTGTTTCATGCTGATTCATGCTGGAGCTCTCTCCACTCAGTGAAACGCTTTTTCATGAAACATATTTAGAGAAGGGGCTCTGCCATCTGCAGAGGACCTGTGCGGAAATGTGGGGAAATGCCCATGTGTTTATTTGTGTCATCCATTGTTAACTAAGAATATTCAGGTGTTCCAATAATGGAGGTATGAAGAGAGGGAAAAGTGCTGGATGGTGGGAAGGAGACTGGGCTCAGGATCAGGACGAAAGGCCCCACGGCTGGAGCCAAGTGTGACCTTCAGCAAGTTTCTTTTGGTTCTTTCGCTTCAATCTCTTCCTCTGGAGGAAAAAAAAATGAGGCTACTAGCACTTGCTCTGCCAGCCTTAAAGGGATGTGATGAGAATCCAGTGCGAGGATGTACGTGCAGCCCAAATTCTCTCAGGCGCAGCACCAGAGGGACAAATGGCTTCACATTAGCAGATGTCACCAGCTCGTGCCTCCCACCTGCTGACAGAGCGCCTCCGGCATCTCCCCAGATACGTTTCACCGGAAATATTTTCAGAGCACCTAGAGGACCCCCACACAGTCTCCTCTCTCACATCAGTGCCTGAGAAGACCCTGCCTGCAGCTAACCATATCCATCAGCAGAAGCTGAATCTCAGGCTCTCAAAGGTGCAAAACCAGCAGGTGTCAAAATGATCTGTCCCTCATGCAGTTTATGGCTGTGGGGGAAGGGGGAAATTATCTATCCCCTCTCAGATCCCTCCCCCCACCCCCATGCCAAGAGACACTTGGAGGCATAGACATGCCCAGGAATCCAGGAATGTCCAAGCTCAGGTTAGGCTCAGGAGAACCCTGGGCCGAGGGTTTTATGCTAGTTCCCACGGAATCCACACAGCTGCCTCAGGAGTCGGGATCATCCAAGGTCACTTTACCAAGGTCACACAGCTACGGTAGGTGGTGGAACCATGTGGTGGACATTTGTCATTCTGGTTGCTTTATACTTATTCTATGTTTTCTTCTAGAAGTTGGGTAGTTTTCAATCTTATATTGAGGTCTATAGTCCTACTCGAGTTAATTTTTATGCATGATACCAGGTAAGAATTGAGGTTCTTTTCCTTGGTATGTGAGTGCCCAGCTGCAGATGCACTGTACTTCTCACTTGTGGGGGGCATTGAGCTAAGTAGAGGAAGGTTTCATGGCCCACTGTGGAAAGCAAGCTGAAGGGGAAGATATTCCCTTTTGCCACTCTCTGGTTGCTTAAAAACATTGACCCTTAGGGAGACTAGCCAAGGCACAAGGTCAGTTAGGGATTGTATGAGGTGGCCATGGAAGGCAGTGACAAGCACCTCTCTAAAGTTGGTGGCTCTGAAGGCAGCCTCTTGACTGTGCCTTGCCCCATCCGGGGCCTCCCACATGCCCACGATTCTATCAATTATCCACTGTTCCTCACATAGATTCCTTCTCTGCTTAAGTTAACCAGAAACAATTTCTATTTGCAACCAAGTCCCTAGCGGCTATAAGGCAGAATTCAAATCCTGACAATCTCTTCCTGAAAAACTCATGGGCACCATTCTCAGTGCACTGTTAAAGCTTATATGCATATAAGACATAATTATTATTATGGTGCATTAAGTTGGACAACATCCCAGTGAGATAAGTGACAGAATGGTGGCAATTGTGGAAGAAAGAAAGCTCAAGCCATCAATGTCATGTGCTCTAAATGCACAGACGCCCAGCATGGTTTGAAAGGAAAAGAGCTACGCAAGTCAGGAAAACAACAGTTTAAATAGGAAGCACCACCCAGCTGGGTAATGGGATTCCATCATCTATTTTCCAAAAAACCAAATTCAGTTGTGTGTGTGTGTGTGTGTGTGTGTGTGTGTGTTTAATTCCTATATGGTTCATGATGGTCAGAGTCATAACAGCTAGAATTTTAAAGCCAGGAAGGACCTTAAAAATCATCTAATTTCCTCACCTCATTTCATGGATAAGGAGACTGGCTCCCAGTTAGATATGACTTACAAAGCATCACTCCGACAGAGCCAGACTGGAGGAATGCTCCCTCTCCACCTTGACACTTGCCTCCGGGGAGAGGATGATGAAACGGTTCAACAAGTCAGAGGGGAACCCCTCTTCCACAGCGGGAAACTGCATGCTAGTTTAATTGAGAAATCAAATTGCATGCTTACTCCAGTCCTGTTGTCTTTGTGAAGTCACAGATTCGCTCTCAAAACCATTGCGCTGAGACGTGCCCACTCTTCCCTATGTTCCCACTGAGGACACGTTCAGGTAAACCTCCCCTTCCAAGGTCCCCTAGATGTTCCTGAGGCCTATACTCAAATGAATAAAAAGGATTTCAGAGCTAGGATGTACCTGAAGTTCTTCGCCAATGTGTAGTTTTCTTGCAATTTACACAGGCTTTCTGAAATTACCTGGGAGGAGTGATGGCCTACGGTGTTATGTTAGCGTTACCATGCATGGTGTAACTTATAGACAGTCATTCTGATTAGCTCCTAGGGAAAGAGGATGCTGAAGAAATTGAAAAGAAAAGGCCTCTACTGAGGCATTTTCATACAGCAGGCAACGACCGCAATTTAGGGAAAATCTTCCCTTCCCAAAAATATATATATTTTAAGAGCTCCGCAAATTTGAGAAGACTCTAGAAAGCACTGATCAACTTCCTCCTAAGGAGAAGCCACCTCTCCTGCAGATCCTCCCCAAGGGCCTGAGCTTTGCAGTCAACCACAGAGCCGATGCCTGCCCAAGGTGATGCAGATCTTAGGGAGAATGAGGTCGCTCAGTTTGTAGTGATGTGGAAAGTTCTCCAAGGTTCACTGGGGATACAAAAAGTAAGTGTGATAATTTGATCACATGTGTGTAAAAATAAACATATATGATTTAACAAAAACCACAGACAACTTCTGAAAAGAGACACATGAAACTGTTCATAGTGTTTGCTCCTGAGGAATGGGATTGGAATATCAAGGAGAGAGATGAAGGAGGTTTTTTTTTTTTTTTTGCTTTTTACTTAAAATATCCCTGTAATGTTTATATTAAAAACAATAACAAAGGCTATAAGTACTTGTTACCTTTATAATTAAAAAGAGAAACTAATATTTTAAAACTCCAATTTCCAGGCCAGTGGCTCACGCCTATAATGCTAGCATTTTGGGAGGCTGAGGCAGGAGGGTTTCTTGAGGCCAGGAGTTCAAGACCAGCCTGAGCAACATAGTGAGACCCGGTCTCTACAAACAATAGAAAAATTCACTAGGCATGGTGGCGTGAGCCTGTAGTCCCAGCTGCTCAGGAGGCCAGTGCAGGAGGATTGCTTGAGCCCAGGCATTTGAGGTTGCTGTGAGCTGTTGATGATACTGCACACTCCGGCCTGGGTGACAGTGAGACTTTGTCTCAAAAAAAAAATCCAGTTTCCCAGCATCCCCTTGTCAAGATCTGGGATGAGTGAGGCTTGGAAATCTGTGTCTTACTAAGTTCTTCAGATGATTCTAATGTGTAGTCAGAGTTGAGAACCACTGGGTTGGGGTAGTAAGGTCCCCGATAGCGTATTAACTGGGCAGGGAGGTATGCTATGGTGTTATCCTAACACGAATCACTCTATCAGATTAGCTCCTGGGGAGAAAAGAACGCTGACAAAATTCAGCAGAAGAGCTAAGCAGTGTGTCTCATGGGACAGAAGTGGGTTCCTCAGGCAGACACCATGGGAGGCAGCCAGAGGGCACGGGGGCTGATACCAGAAGTAGAAAGGAGAGAGACGGGGAGGCAGGCCGGCCTGCACAGGGAGCCTCGGAGGCCTGTGCCCTGTCTTCTCCCCACCACCAAGCAAGGACGTGTAACTTAGGAACCCACAGGCAAGTAGGATATTTGTTTTATTTGGAAACCTTCAAATTCTATTTAAAAATAATTCTGGGTTTCTTTCAAAAGGCAGGTTGGGAAGAAGCATCTGGAATGAAATAAACCCACAGACCACTTACACAGACCAAAAGAGAAAGGAAAAAAAACCTACTCCAAATTATGCTATTCTCAACAGTGCCAGGAAAGACATGAATGAGGGAAGGGAGGAGAAAAAAACAAACTTCTAAATGATTTGAAGAGAGGGTGGGAAACCAGAGTGTGGGTGGGTCCGGGAGCACTTTGCTCTCACATTTTGGAAAGGAAGAAGTTTCATTTCTGTAATTTTGAGTCTTTCTCAAAAAAGTAATTTCTATGTGTAGTTGGAAATTATACACTTGAGTCAGCTCTGGGGAGCTTCACACAAGTCTAGTATCTACGTTCCCTTCCTCCCCAGAGACCTGGCTACACGCCCTGTGCCCTCTCAGAGTAAGCGTGTTTCTGGCACATTCTTCTCAACAGCAGTGCCGGGGCCTGCCTGCTCTGTGCACTGAAACCTGCAAGAACTCTTCCCAAAGGGCTGATGAAGGACTCTCAAAAGCACCACCTGCAATTCCCACTGCAAAGCAGTTCATCTGGGGAAATGTCTGCTGAGGGGCCGATCCCTAGTGAGAGCCAGCGTCCTGGTGGTGTATCTGATTTCTTTAGCAAGGAAAGCAGCAGGGGAACTGGCATTGTTGAGCATCCAGTATGGGCCATCTAGAAGCTATGTCTCTGATTCTTGCTCGATTCTGTGGAGTCGTTTTTATTGTCCACATTTCACAGATGAGGAAGTTGAGTCCCAGGGAGTCTGTGCTACAGAACCAAGCAAATCTAGCTCCTCTACTTGCTGGTAGGGACTGTGGGCAGGTTACTTAACTCTCTGTGTCTCGGGCTTCTCCTCTTTACAGTGGAGAGAACAATGAGACCTGCCTTGGGGTGATGGGGAGGATTGAGAGATTCCCCGGTAAAGTGCTCAGCAGAGCAATAGGCAACAGAAAATATGAGGCACCCTTATTATCTTCGCCATAATGACTTAGAAGGTTGAATAGCTTCCTCACATGAAGTGACCCACACTGAAATACAGGGCTGAAGCTGGATTTGCATCACTGCTCGTCCTAGCACACATGCTGCCATTACCCAGCACCGTCCTTCTAAGCTGAGGACGAGAGACAGAGATACAGACATCTGTCCTCTTCCCCCAACGAGTAGCAAAGTAGCTGAGGACTTGGATTCGGTGGATGTTACCTTCGGGCCAGAGGGTTTATTTTGTGGCTTCCTAGTCAGAAGGTGAGACCAACTCCCTGTCACCTGCTGTAACACAGGCCCAGGAGAATTCTGCTGACTGGGCAGTAGGCAGGGCCAGAAGCTTGGAACAGTCTGACAAAGGCTGGCGAAACGGTGCTTCCACAGGCCCTGGTACAGGAAGAGGACACAGGACCTGGCTGTGGTGTCTCTGGCCTGAACGGGCTAATATTTTGGAACTATCTGTGGGACGTGGTCAGCCAGGCAGGCCATGCGGGAAGTGCGCAACTCAGCAGGCTGTGGCTGAACTAGAAGAAAACTACCATGGATCTGGAAGGCAATGGGGGACCTGGAACTGTGGAGGGTGGGATGTGGGTTTCTAGGGTCGATCAGGGAGGGGACTGGCTATCAGGAATTTACCCATGGCCCTGGCCACTCCTAATCTCTCCAGTGAGGGTGTATGAGTTAGGGGTGAGGGTATGTAAAGAACCGACAGGAAAACAGGAGCCGGCACTGTCACTGGTTTGCTGGCACTCTGCACACCCCACGCAGTTCTCACAACAGGCCCAGGTGAGAACTAGTCTCACCCCAGATTATCAGTGAGGAAACTGAGGCTCACACAGTTAAGTAATTTGTCAAGGTCAGTATTAGATTGTCTAATAAGCTAAATAAAAGTCTGCCTAAAGTATCTACAATGCAGAAGAACTAAAAACTTGTTTTTGTTTTTTTTTTGAGACAGAGTCTCACTCTGTTGCCCGGGCTAGAGTACCGTGGCGTCAGCCTAGCTCACGGCAACCTCAAACTCCTGGGCTCAAGCAATCCTCCTGCCTCAGCCTCCCAAGTAGCTGGGACTACAGGCATGCGCCACCATGCCCGGCTAATTTTTTTTTTCTATTTTTAGTTGTTTGGCTAATTTATTTCTATTTTTAGTAGAGACGGGATCTCGCTCTTGCTCAGTTGGGTCTCAAACTCCTGAACTCAAGCAATCCTCCCACCTCAGCCTCCCAGAGTGCTAGGATTACAGGCGTGAGCCACCGCGCCCGGCCTAAAAACTTGTTTTTGAAAGAATTTGAAATTTGCTTTTTCTAAGAATGTATCAAAAGAAACATTGTTGGAAAAGTCAGAACTTTGTGGGACTTCCTTACAACTATATTTATGTCCTGAGCAGAATGGAAAGAGTGGAAAGGGGGCTTGCTCCTCACTTTCCTCTGTTTTTTGGGGTGAGAGGTGGGGTGGTGGGAAGGTAGAGGGAGAAACCTTTTCTGGAAGGCCTCAGCAAGTTTCCTCCAACATCCCATGTCTAGAACTGGGTCACATAACCCACCCCCCACCCTACCCCCGCCAACCGGTGGCTGGCAAAGAGAAACAGTATAGTGTTGATTGTCTCAGAACAATCACAATGTACACTGTGGGGCTGGGCAAATGGCCACACCAACAAAATTGGGCTCTATTTGCAAGAAGAAAGGGACAATGGCTGTTGGGTAGGCTATGAATGGAGCTATCACAGACTTTAGGATGCTCTGAAATCCCAGAGGAGCTAGGAAACCATGGACTAGTCATTTACCAATGGTTCCCTTGGGTTTAGGATTTATTAACTATGAATTTTTAAAAAAGAGAATGTCAATTGACCCTTATGGAGCCGTGAATCCTGTTACTTAGTATTATTAGGACTACGTATGTTCTAACCAAAGCTTCCCCTGAATCCTGTTCCATCTCTCTATTTCTCTCACTTTCCTTAGTCAGCTAAGTTCCTGTGACTCGTCTTTGCTCAAAGTCTCTACTTCCTACTTCCTGCTCAACTCCTTGACATCTGGCTTCTGCCCCAATTTCTCCCTTGAGACTGTCTGCCAAAGGTCAAGGGTGAATATTAAGTTCCCCGATGCCTTGCACACTTTCCCACCCACAGCTTGCTCAGCTCCATGGCACATGGCACCGTCCACCCTCCCAGTCTTGCAAGGCTCTCCTCCCTGGGTGCCTGGGACCCTACCCTGTCCTCACCTTCTTCTGAGCTTTCTGGCTCCTCAGTCTCCTCGCTGCACTACTACAGCAACCTACCCCAAACGTTGGGGTTTGTTACCCAGGGTTCTTCCCTTTATTTGCTGTCTTCTCTCTCCAGACACTGTCCTTCTGACCTGCACTACCTTCTCAAATCTCTAACCCAGTGCAGGCTGGATATCCGAGCTACAGACCTGTATGTTGAATTGACTTTTGGATGGTTCTAGAATCTCATAGGCTCCTCAAGTTCAATTTCATCTAAACTGGACTCATCATTCTCTCTAAACTTACACCCTTTTACCTTGTGCTCCCTGATCTTGGTGACTGGCCTTACCACCCATCCAACCATTTGGCCTAGCCAGAAAACTGGGTCCCGCCGTGGAATAAATGGATGAGTCACTATCATTTCTATTCACTTAGTTTCTCAAGGATCTCTGTTTCTGCTTTATAGCCACAATTTCCACCTAGGCCCAAACACTTACCATAACCCTCTGGGTTATCACAAGGTTCTGAAACAGGTCTTTATATTCACTCCATCTCCCAGCCTATGCTCCACCATCATCATGGCGGTCTCTATAAAATATGCAGACGATCACTTCTCTACTCTTTAAAAGCCTTCTATGGCTCTTCTCTGCTGTCAACACAAAGTTCATGGCATGTAAACACAAAGGTGGCACCTTTTCAGCCTTATTGGCTTATGTTCTCTTCATGCTAGCTGGAGAGAGCGTGGCATGCCATCACACTGATTTTCCTTTAATATTAAATAACGTCCGCCGGTTCTATCCTCAAGCGCCGGGACACTGGGTTAAGGAAAAAAAAAAAAAAAAAAAAAATATTAAATAACGTCAGTTGCTGCATTTCTATAGCACTCTGATTTTTACAGCTCCATTTTGAAAGGCCAATATGTAAACACATGGAACAACAGGCTAAGCTTCAGCCTCAAACGCTGCATGTCTGACTTGAAATGATGAAACCCCTGAATTCAAGTTTCCTTATTGTTATATGTTTCCTTAAATGCTAAGTGGAGATATTAATACTTGCTCAGAGGGGAGTTGGGAGGCATAAATTCAGTGATATATATAATAGGTATGGCACGTGGTGAGTGTCTAATCAATGGCATCAGCTACTACTTATAGACCACATCTCACCCTATGCCAGGATGGGTCTAGGTGTCGTATGTTTGTTAGTTCCTTTGATCTTCATAACAATCCTTTGAGGTAGGTACAATTATTCTCATTTTATGGATAAATAAACAAGCACAGGGGTTTAAATAGCTTGTACAAAATCACACAGATAGCAAGTAGCAGAGGGGGATTTGAATCTTGTCAGGGTAACACCAGAAACTATTAACCACTATGGGACCCCACCTCTCCATGGCTGGTGATCATTTAAATTAATGCATTTATGTTAGCTATATGCACCAGAAAATACATTTAGATTTTCTAATAAATATGTGACAAATTATTTGTAAGGAACATAAAATACAAGGACTAATTTCTAGAATGTTAGTATAAAGCCAATAGGATGTCCTCTACCACAAACAAACAAAAAACCTCTTGATACTTTTAAGGTGCTTTTTCTTCACTGAACTGATCTAGGAACTAAGTGGGGGTTTTTTGGGTTTTTTTGTTTGTTTGTTTTTGAAACAGAGTCTCACTCTGTTGCCCAGGTTAGAGTGCCATGACATTAGCCTAGCTCACAGCAACCTCAAACTCCTGGACTCAAGCGATCCTCCTGCCTCAGCCTCCCAAGTAGCTGGGACTACAGAGTCTCACTCTGTTGCCCAGGCTAGAGTGCCATGACCTTAGCCTAGCTCACAGCAACCTCAAACTCCTGGGCTTAAGCAATCCTTCTGCCTCAGCCTCCCGAGTAGCTGCGACTACAGGCATGCGCCACCATGGCCAGCTAATTTTTTCTATATATTTTTTGTTGTCCGGCTAATTTCTTTCTATTTTTAGTGGAGACCGGGGTCTCAATCTTGCTCAGGCTGGTATTGCACTCCTGCTGTGAGCATCAGGCTAAGCCATGGCACTCTAACCTGGGCAACAGAGTAGAGACTCTTTTCAAAACAAACAAACAAAAAACCCAAAAACCCCCACTTCGTTCCTAGATCAGTTCAGTGAAGAAAAAGCACCTTAAAAGTATCAAGAGGTTTTTGTTTGTTTGTGTAGAGGACATCCTATTGGCTTTATACTAACATTCTAGAAATTAGTCCTTGTATTTTATGTCCCTACAAATAATTTGTCACATATTTATTAGAAAATCTAAATTTTTCTGGTGCATATAGCTAACATAAATGCATTAATTTAAATGATCACAGCCATGGAGAGGTGGGGTCCCATAGTGGTTAATACAGTTTCTGGTGTTACCCTGACAAGATTCAAATCCCCCTCTGCTACTTGCTACTGTGTGATTTGTACAAGCTATTTAAACCCTGTGCTTGTTTATTTACCATAAAATGAGAATAATTGTACCTACCTCAAAGGATTGTTATGAAGATCAAAGAACTAACAAACATAGACACCTAGACCCATCCTGGCATAGGGTGAGATGTGGTCTATAAGTAGGAGCTGATGCCATTGATTAGACACTCCACGTGCATACCTATTATATATATCACTGAATTTATGCCTCCCAACTCCCTCTGAGCAAGTATTAATATCTCCACTTAGCATTTAAGGAAACATATACAATAAGGAAACTTGAATCAGGGGTTTCATCATTTCAAGTCAGACATGCAGCGTTGAGGCTGAAGCTTAGCCTGTTGTTCCATGTGTTTACATATTGGCCTTTCAAAATGGAGCTGTAAAAAAATCAGAGTGCTATAGAAATGCAGCAACTGACGTTATTAATATTAAATGGAAAATCAGTGTGATGGCATGCCACGCTCTCCTCCAGCTAGCATGAAAGAAACATAAGCCAATAAGGTGAAAAGGTGGC